TCTTTAATCTTCTTAAGTATTTCAAGTTCTCTTTGCTTCTAGCAAGTAAGGTTATGTCATCTGCATACTGTAGGTTATTAATGAGTCTACTTTCAATCCTGATGTCATGTTCTTCTTCATACTATCTAGATTACTGGATCATTTGCTAAGCATACAGACTGAATAAGTACGGCAAATGATACAACCCTAACAAACACTTTTCTAATTTTAAACTGTTCATTATTACCTTCTCTTTGAACAACTGCCTCTTGTTCTCTGCACAAATTCTTCATGAGCACAACTGTTTTGGGATTTTTCACAATGTTACATATCATTTGTTATGATCTACGCAGATGAATTCCTTTGCATAGTCAATAAAATATAGGTAAACATCTTTCTAGTAGTCTCTGAATTCAAAGCAAAAGCCATCTGAACTTAATAATGATACCCCTTATCCCACATTCTCTTTTGAATATGGCTTAAATTTCTGGCAGCTCCATGTCAATGTATTGGTGCAATCATTTTTTAATTATCTTCAGCAAAATTTTAATTACATATGATATTGTTCAATTGTTTCCACATTCCATAGGGTCACCTTCTTACTTTGGAATGAGCACAAATATTAATCTCTTCTAATTGGTTGCCCAAGTAGCTAATTTCCAAATTTCTAGGCATAGATGAATAAGAATCTCTAGCATAGCATCAGTTTGTTGAAACATTTCAATTTGCACTCCATCAATTACTTTATTGTTGTTGTTAGGTGCCATCGAGTCAGTACCAACTCATAGTGACCTTATGCACAGCAGAACGAAACACTGCCCGATCCTGAGCCAACCTCACCACTGTTGCCACGCTTGAGTCCATCGATGCTGCCACTTGGCCAATCCATCTTGTTGGGGGTCTTTCTCTTTTTCTGTGACCCTCCACCTTACCAAACATGATACCCTTCTCCAGCGTCTGGTGCCTCCTGACAATATGTCCGAAGTATTTCACCAGTGCCTCCAGTACAGTTTGGATTTCTTCCTTCAAAACAAAAAGCACTATGTTTCCTTAAGTATATGCTACTTCTTGAAATGACTGAACATTGACTTATTCTTTTAGGTACAGTGATTCTACAATTTTTTTCCAGGTTCTTTTGATGATTTCTGTGTTATTCAATAC